ATACCGCCGGGGTATTTCTGGCAATGCAAAGTACCATGACCAGTCGCCAGGCCATTGACCTGCTCCATGACATCGATCTCTCCGCACTCGGGCCACTTCTTGCCGCCGTTTCGCAGAGAGTTCCCTAGCATCCACCAGGCAGGCCACATGCCCTTCTTTGCGCCCTGGTCGTTGGAACCGAACCGCAGAGAGGCTTCGATGCGGGTGATCTTGCCGACCGTGGGGGTGAAGACGTACTTGCTCTCGAGGCGGCCGGATGTCCATCCACCACTGGTGCTGCTGTCCCGCAAGGGCGCAATCTGAAGGGAGTTGGAGCCGCTGAGCTGGACGTTACGTGTACTGGAAGAGTAGGTCTGCAGCTCGCCGTTTACGCCAAGGTTGCCGGTGATGAGATTCCAGTTGCGTGTGTTGGGGGAGCTGCCTCGTGCGCCGGAGAAGTCGTCTTGCCAACGGAGGCTGAAGCCAGGATAGCCAGGGGCACCGGCCTGGACCGAGGCCGCAAAGGCCAGTAGTACACTGGATAGGATGTGGTGGTTGACCATTGTGATGACGGGTGTTTTTTGTTTTTTTTTTTGTTTGTTTTTCTTGGGTTGTAGAAACGACGTCAAGCCGGATAAGGAGTGAGTGTATGAGAGCTGTCGGGAAGCACAAGTTCGAAGGAGAGTGATGAACACACAAAGACTTCTATAAGATAAGCTTGAGGGAATGAAACCACAAAAGATGCGAATGGGAGAGATGCTGATGAGGTGAATCGTGATTAGTGAGGGGGCATGATCAAGTTATTATATACTCGGGAGCCCAAGACTCAAGGACGACAGTAGCACCAAGCTATCCGCCCAAGTGCCATTGTATCCGATGGGAAACGTTGGGGAAATCGGCCAAGTGTCCCAATGGACCAGATACTAGGCATAAAAAAGCCAAGATACCACGAGAAGACAAGGGGAGGGGGGTGGCATCCCTGAGTTGTGTAAGGAGGGCATACAACATCCATCTCAAGTGACCACGACAAGTCAGCCTGGACTGCCATGGGACAGAAAAGCCATGGACAGCACTAGTCTAGCATCAAGGCGGGAAGGAAGACATGGAGACGCCCAATATGTAGAGCCGCTGACACCCGATTCAGAGCATCCTACATACAAGGAAGAAAGAAAAGAGGCCGACGAGGGAAGAGTGCTTCGCGAAGTCACTCACGGTTGGTGCAGGGGCGACAGCCGGTGCGGAACAATAGGCATGCATGTATGTAGGTATGATTGTATGATTGTATGTACATAGTCTGTATCGAGTCTGGAACTTCAGGATCTATGTACATACATACTGCTAATGTCCGGCCGGGACCATCGCACAGACTGTAGACAGTAGTGGGTGGTGCAACAGCAGAAAGAGGAAAGGCTTCCATGTGTCGCGCAAAAGGTTTAAACTGTCATACTCTGTAGTCTGTATGTATGTGTCGATGCGGGAAGGAGACCGGTTTGGCGCCACCCGTTCCCCCCGGACCCTTAATAAGTTCCAACGCGTCACGGACTCCATATTCCCCAACACATACATACCTACCTTATGTATCTGCATCCTTGTTCCAGAATGACCCGTCCTGACTCCTCTACCCGAACTCGACGGGCCGGGCGCCAAGCAGGAACCTGAATGGAGTTACATGTGCATACAAGGCACCGGGGGGGATGACACGCAGAGATTCTAATGTAAGACTCTCGAATCGTCGCTGGATGATAACACTCAACGGTCTGACGGATCGATGCCCGCTTTGGAGGAACTGGCGTTGACGCGCTCTCCGTGCTCGAGACTCAACGGGCCGAATTACGTAGACACGGTACACGTGGCTGCTGGTATGTACATACATACATACATACATACGTATTGTTGTAAAAAAGAACCCCCAAGATGACTAGTTTCCTTAGGTCCTCTTCGGCGGATTTATCGTCTGGGGAAAGGAAAGAGGATGGAGGAGAAGCCGAGGGATCGGACGTCAGTACAGGAGCAGCTTAGTGCAGTGCAGGGACAGATTAGTCAGGTGAAAGAAGGAGGGGGGCGCGCTCCCCGGTCCGTTCTTATTTTGGTCTCTTTTTTGTGAAATTGCCTCAAAGCTTCATCAGGACTCATCAGGACTCATGACGCCCAGCGCCAATGGATTGGTTTGATTAGACAAGAATTGCGCTTGTTCAGTAGCATTCAAACCGTGGTACAGACACTGGTAGGCTGTAGCCTGTGGTAGGTGCTCCTTTTCTGTACGTAAAACCCCCCCTGCTTTTCGGCCCGCCGCTTGTTCTACCAGCATCACCGTCGGGTTTAACATACCTAATGTCAAGTTGTCAACCCAGACTCCAGTTGGCAAGGAAAGGGGGAGCTTTCCTATCTGGTGCCTGAGCAATGGAGCCGCACAGAAAAGAAGAGGGTGGGCTGGCTGCGGCCTGCATCCTAAGATCCAACGATCGAGGGCAAACGGCAGAATTGCCTATCTTGGCTACCTCACAGTGCAGCAGCCTGCAGATGGGTTTCAACTTTTGCTTCTTGCCCGGCCGGCAAGGGTAATAAACCAACAAGAAACCTGGCCGGCCAAGCGCCAAGAGGGGAGCGAAGAGTGTGTGAAGATGGGAGAAAATGAAGATGCAGATGAAACACCATCAATATGATATCAAATTCGACAATCAAGCCATCGCCGGCAACAAGCATGAAACAAAAGACCAAACGCAGCCACAAGTGGTTTCGAGCCATACAACCGAAAAGTGAGGCATCACATCTACACTCACGGGCGTGGCGCCCCCCCCCCCCCCTTGGATCGAGAATAGGAAGGAGAAATGCAAGAAGGCCACAAAGAAGGGTAACAAGACCAACAGAGTCATGTGCGTTCGGCCGCGCGCGTGAATCCTCCAGACTCCAGAGTCCAGAGGTGAGCCCCCTGCAGCCTCCTTTCTCATTTTCGCATTCTTTCAAAAAAAATCGGTTGGTCGCGTGCACGTCACGATGCTCATGCAACGTGACGAGACGGTCATCACTGGACAACGATACGCCTGCTGCAAAAGGCTGGACAACATGACCTCAAAGTTCAGACCCGCCCGGCGAAGTTGAGAGAGCCATCCCGACCGAAAGGCGTTTGTCGGCTTACGGCTTAGGGTTCGTGGCACCAACGATGGAAATGGGAAATGGCAAGAATCCTTCGCGTAATCCGTACCTACCTAGTTGTTGCGGCTTGCATAAAAAGAAATCTTAAATTCCTTCTTGCACAGCAATCGGCCCTGTCGTCAGTGATCACTCCGGACTCGTAACGACAGATTGATTCCCTTCGGCAGATGGGATTCATTCATCCTCTCTTGGCTCGTCTCGACTCGTCTCGACCTGTTTTCCTGCTTGCTCATCTTCTTCGGGTTCGACTGACTCTAGTGGTGGAGAGTTGGTTCCTTACAAGTTACAAGTTACCCCGGAGAACTTAGAAGGAGGGGCGGCCGGACGGCGGTAGGCGAACGGGTAATAAAAGGGCGAACAAAGAAAGCCAATTGACAATTTGACATGCACTAGAATCCAATAGAAGCAAGATGTCGCACGTGACTGCTGTCTTCTTGCGGTTCATGATTCGCTCGCTTTTACCCATCTCGGAAGGTTTCTCTCTTCTCGATGCCCGTTTGCCTAACCCTTGTTTCATTTCCCCGCGCTTCAGGGGACTGTGGATCTGCCAAGCCGTCGGAACAAGGCAAGAAGAAAACACCGAACGGAGTACTCCGTAAAAGACAGGACAATCTGAGATATATACAGGTGTCCATGCGCGGCCGCCTGTGTAAAGCATGCCAGTGAGGTTAGTCTCTGAAACCACCTCGCGATAACACATTCGGCGCGGCCCGTCAATCATTTTTGTTCCGTGTCTTGTCATTTCGACATTCAGTTTTCCTGATATTATTCGAGCTCTCTGGAATCCAAAATCCATCATCTCCTTCCCAAGCGCCGACTCGACAGCATTCAGAGAGTTCGCCGCTCATGCGGTGCGCGCGTCGCACATGTCTGGTGCGAGGGCCTCGGCAACATGTAGCAAAGGCTGAAACCGCGAGATGCCAACCTCCTCTTGGAGTTCTTGGGACTGCTTTCTACATGTGATCGTGAGAGCCCAACCATTAACCAAGGCAGCTTGCATCGTTTATCAAAGTCAGCCCTCCCAACTTCCCGCACGCCACCATCGCACGCCCAAAACCGCCAGATAGTCCTTCTTCAGACGCCATTCATGATACATCATGGATCTTGGGAGTCGACCACCCCCCTCGCCTCAAACAAGCCAAGTGTTCCATCATCTCGGCGAGAAGCATCAGACCTTGAAGTCTGGCCCCTGGAGCAACTGCCAACAGCATGATGTGAGCATTGAGCAAAGCATAAATGTCATCCTTTGTGGGGCCAACAGGTGCTCATCCTAAACAATAAAATAGATGTGAAACGAGCTCTCATGGCTGGACGATGCATGCGTCTGCCCGCCCCTCCCTCATGGACGTCAGCTTTGGAAATAACATCGGTTAGATCGTAAAGCCCGGACCTCGATGAGGCACGTCGTCTTGGCAGTAACGCCGAGCTGCGCCGGGCTGCGGCCTCAGTCCCGGCAAAGTAATCCCTTCCCTTCTGCATTAGGTAGGTACGGAGTATGCCATACATACTTGCAAGTTGCCCGTTCTCGCTATGCATCAGAGCGATGCAGATGCAGGCCTGACTCGTCTTGACGTCCAAGATGTCAATGATGTTTCAAATGTCTTACAAACAAACGACTTGAGGAGGGAACGCGGCAAGAAGAAGTCACCTCTACGGAGTAATGTAGCACAGTTTTGCCTCTGTTTCAATATAGTGAAGAAAAATATGATGAATGCCCAAGTATGCATACCTAGTCCACAAACACCACTCAGTCAACCTAGACTGGACACTGAACAGAGAGAGCCGGCGAAGAGAAAAAGTGGAAGAAAGGGCAAAAAGAAGGTCAAAGGCAAAAACATGACACGTGTGTCCACGTGGTGACAAAAAGTTGGACAGACGGGGAATCGAACCCCGGACCACTCCCAGATTCTGTTCGCTTGCGACATCATGCTAAGGGAGTATTATACCACTAAACCATCCGCCCAATGAGATTGTTGAATTCCTCCTTCTTATTTCACACTAGAAAGTATTACAATTTGTGTCTGAGAGTCAAGCCAGCGCAAACTCAGAGGCTCATGATGATTGGATCCCGCGCTCCATTGTATTTTTGCAGGCCTGAAGGCTCAAGCTCCGACGCCCCGATGTTTGAAATCGCGTTGCTGTTCATTGCCTTCATCCCATCACAAAGTTCGCAGGCTGTCGCACGCCACATTGACGCGGCGCCGTGGTTGCCGCTGGCTGCCGATTCTGCTGCCGGTATTCATTGGTAGAGAGGTCCGACATATCGAAACGCGGTCTTGAGTCACCGTCACCGTCTCGTCTCCGTCTCGTGCCCGTTCGTGGCCATGTCTGAAGACGACGCCGAACTCGGCCCCGATGGTCAATCGACTTCTCGTATCGATCGCGATCGTCGGGCTCCGCGCTTCAGCTGGACTCCCGCATACGAGACGACTTTTTTCCGCAGCCTCTGCTCTAGTGTCCAGCTTGGGTTTCGAGAAAACAGCAGCTTCAAGACCGAGGCATGGGAGCGCGCCGCAAAGGCTCTGGAGGAGTGCCACTCTGCATTTCCTACAAAGAGCCACCTCATCAACAAGAGCGACAATGCGCGAAAACGGTTCCGACTCTGGCGTGGTCTGCGCGAGAACCCAGACTTTGAATACAATTCTTCCACCAAGACGGTGACTGCATCGGAAGCTGCCTGGAAGGCGCATATAGAAGTGAGTGCGAGCTGCGTTGGCATGGGCGTGTCCTGTATGGATTGAGAACATGACATGCAAGAGAGTAAATGGGGCCGAAACCAGGAGGAAAATTAAGCCACAGGATGCTGACGCCGAAACACAGAAAGAGCCTCTTTCGAGAGCCCTCCGGGGTCGTCCATTTGATCACGAAGAATACATGGAGATACTGTATCCCGATGTAGTTGGGTCTGGTGGTGCCCCAAAAAGGGTCAAGAGAAGGCGGAGGAGGACCGAAGGAATGGCGAGGGACGATTCGGAGATGCCAGAACCTGACGTCTTGCAATTACAAACCGAGCATGCGACGAGCCAGAGCAGTCCCCGTCTCATGCGATCGTCATCCGGTCTGAGGCAGGCCACCCTGAACAGAACCGCAGGACTGCGCCTCATGCCAACAGCGACGGCACTTGCACGTCGAGCTGCACCATCTTCGGAGAAGCGACAACGCACCTCTACTGCTGGTGACTCGGTCGCCCGTATTTCTGCATCCTCGAGCAACATACTCTCCGACACGGCAATGGCCCACCCGCCCACCTGGTGCGAGTTGGCACTGGAGCAGTTCTTCAGTGATTTTGCAGATGAGAGCATGGAGCTGCAGATCAAGATTGCTGAGAATGTCTTGATCCACGAGAACAAGGCGATGATTTTCTGCAAGATGCCCCGGCGTCTTCGGCAGCACTGGGTAAAGGAACTCGACGAAGGATTCCAACAAAACTCGCCGTGATTGCCCCTTCTTCAGTCCCACTAGAAGTTCGAGACCTACAGCAAATGGGGCTTTCCCATGACGTGCTTTATCGGTTCCTCCTCTTAAAGGGGGCGACGCATTGATGGACGGATTGGCAAGCTCCCACGTGGGGGTACGATGCCCTCAATTACAGACGAGTGATATAGAATTCGTGATACCCGCGGCTTTGGCGTTGTTAATATGGGAGTTTGACGATTATCATTTTCAGAGAGGATTGTGGGTTTTTTTTTGGTTCTCCCTAGCTACAAGGTAATCTCTCTCCTCTGCCTCTTGCATGCAAGACGTGTGTTATGTATCAATTCAGCGCACACTTTTTCAATCTGAATCATTTGAACAGCGTTGGAATTATATGGACAAAGACTGATTTGATAAGAGAAGAAGTAAAAAATACTGCGACGATTAATTGCTTGTGTTATTGTCGACTGTGACAATTTTGCATCTCGTCTTCTAGGGTAGGGGCTTGCAAATCCTAGAATATGACGATCGAAGAAGTTAAGCAGAAACAGACACACTTTGGTGCATTGGCCCATCTTCAAGAGACCGACACTTTACATTGTTGATAGACGACGACTATTGATAGCGATTTGGCCATGGTGGCAAGCACATAAATACTTGCAAGCTGCGCGCCATCTGCGTGTCTTTCACACTTCCACGCGTTTCACATGTGCGTTCCAGCGTTCCAGCACTTGACAGCTTCGGAGATTTCGCGGCAGGCATTTATGATTCGGCCCATGGCAGCCCGGCGGCCCATAAATTCCCCAGCTAAGCCCACCCAGTTACGTCATCCATAGACTAGCTTCTTGCGGCACGCCGCCATCCCTGTACCAAGCGACAATCAACATGAACTTGGCCAAAACCATCCTCCCACCGCCGTTTCCCTTTTCAATCCACACCTTCTTCTCACGTCACAGCAACAATCAGAACGAAGCTCTTCTCAGACGAAAACAAAACGAATCACCAACAATCGGATCTTTCCTCACACAGACATCCTCCTCCTTTTCATCAGTAAGTCGTCCCGGTCTTCAACCTGCTAGCTCCGTCAAGGCGGCCACCACGCACACACCACAGGAGCACCTGAACGCTGACCCTCCCGCGCGATGCAGTGTCATACGCCGACGTAGCCGCCAGTGGTCCCAAGCAGACCCCCGAGGAGGTAAATACAGTACCCCATCAACACGTCGCTTGCTTGAAAGAACCCGGCCCGGCGACGGGAACCCTCATAACAACCAGACACTAACACCACATCCCCAACCCCCCAGGCCGCTGCTCCCCAGCCCGCCGAAATCGTCAACACCGAATCCGTAGCCACAGCCTCCCCCCTAGACGTCGACATCCGAAGCGTCCACACCGTGCCCTCCGACTTCTCCGAAATCTCCGAGCAGCCCATCCAGACCGAACCCCAAGCCAACCGCCTGGACTTTAAAACCGAAGCCGACGTCGAAGCAGAAGCCGAGGCCGCCAAGACCACCAAGGCCAAGGACAAGGCTAAGGATAAGGTCCAGAATGTCAAGAAGCAGACCGAGACGAAGGCCCGCGAGACGGACTCATGGCTCGTACAGCAATTCTCTGGCCTTTCGGACGGCAGCGCCAGTGCTCTGGCTGTGACGAACTTGGTTGCTATTATCGGCGTGAGCTCCTACCTCGGCTACAAGGCATGGGGTCTCTATGAGAGGGGCAATTTGAGCTGGAAGACCGCGGGAGTTGGCGTGGGGATCTTGGCGGGGGTTGGGACCGCGGAGGCGGTTTTGGGGCGATATTTGTATAAGGGGAAGAAGGGCGGCTCTTAGAGAGTGGGTGTGCGTTTTTGAAGTTGGGACGCACGTAGCACGACAAGGGGAGAAGAAGAAGAAGGAGGCGGAGGAAAGAGGGAAAGGGGGTGAAGGATCGCGAGTGACTTGTCTGGGTTGGGGCGTTGGTTCTTGATATCGCAAGTTCGCAACGGAATTGGGTGAAATCGTGTTTTTGAGTCTTGTTTTCTTGATCAGCTCTCCTTTGTTGATGAAACTTTTTTTTTCTTGACGCTCGATTCCTCGACTGGGCCAATATCTCGTGTACGATTCGTTCCGCGTCGCGTCGGGCCATGGAGGATGTTGTCTGTATTTGTATCTGGATTTTCGGGCAGGACAGCCGTCGGTGCTTGGTGAAGCCTTGTTCGGAAAACGCTCGTGCTATGTACATGTGCAGATAAAAGAGAAGTCACATACTTTGATACTTGTTTAATTTACTTATAATTTTGCCGTCGATGGACCAAGGTCCTCTCCCGTCTTTGGTACACCTCTACTTACTCGTACATGCAATGAAATACAAAACATGACATCATGCCAAAATATACAATGGGCCGAGATACAGTCCTCGCTATCCATACAATGCCATATCTCCTTGTTCTAAGCTTTTCGCTCCTTTTCCGGTCTCCCTTTTCTTCATATCTTGGTGGTGACGGGAGAGACAGTACCATCAAGAGTCTATTCGTGCCTCATCACCGCAATGCTCTTCTATGCGTCCTTGTTGCCCGCACTGACAGCAACCTCTGACGGCTTCGATGCACCGTCATCAGCCACTGACTGTTCCACAACTTTGAGTCCCGATCCCTCCGCGGGAGCTCTGTGCTGCTCAGGCGTTTCAGCTTGTTGCTCTTCAAATGCCTGGCCTTGCACGGCGGAAGGTGCGTCGCTCTCGGGGGCCTGGTTTTCGGCGGCCTCGTCATCGTCGTCAATCAATTCGGCGCCGTAATGGTCTGGGTATTTGCGGAAGCACTCCTGCATGCCTCTATGATGTGTGTCAGCCTTCCATTGCTTGTAATTGCCCCAAAGAAAGAATCACTTCTTTTGTTCTATCCTGCTTTGGGGGGTTCTTTGGGAAACAATTGGGGATGACATACTGAAACTTGTCAATGCAGTCCATGCCCTTGGGCTCATCGGTAGAGTAGACGAAGCAGCTAAACGCCGCCTTGAACTCCTCTCCACAGGGCCCGTGAGCCATTCCGCCAAGGCAGGGACAATCCCAGTTGATTTCACCAGTCTCGGGGTTAAACGCAGCTTCTCGAGGGGCATCCTCCTCGACGCCTTCCTCCGACGAAGCAGTAGCCGCATCGGTTTGCGCCTCTGTACTGGGCTGCGATTCCAGGGTCGCGGACTCGGCCACTTTCGTCTCGGAAGCTGTGTTCAGGTCTTGCGTCTTGGTTTGCAGCTCCTGCCGTTTCTTTTCGACGACCGACTCGACGGTAGGGGTTTCGGATTCGGCAAACGATGAGGGCGCGGTTCTCGTCAAGGGTTCTACTTTTGTTTTGGCGAATCGGCAAACGTTAGCTGGGGAGAGGCTGCATTGGGGCGTATGCGCCGAAGTGGGAACTTACCTTGTGCTTCTAGTTCATCTGCAAACACAGTGCTCGTGTTGTAGTAGTAGACAGCCGCGACGGCCAACCCCCATCGCAGGGCAGAACCCTTCCATGACGACGGTCGATCTGCGGGGGACGCCGTGGACGCGAGCCGTCGAGGTGCAGAACGA